AATCTAAATATTTAAATACACTTTCTTTTTAAATAAATTTAAATTATCGGAAAAAATGTCTATATCACATTGCTGAAATATAAAATTATATAATTTAAAGCTTCGTAAGAGTGGTGAATTAGAACCGTATCTATTTTTTCGTTGTGGGATATGTAGTGGCTTATAGTTAATATAATTTAATGAAAATAATAATGTTACACTTACAAAGTGTTAATCTATACCTTCATATAATAAAAATGTAACTGATCGCTGTCTGTACATTGGGAGATATTTGAGAAAAACTGTTATTGAGAATCTTTATTAACGCAATGGAACCCAAAACAATGATTTTTCGAAATTTTGTCTGTTTGTCGGTTTGTCTGTGCATTTGTGGGGCGCTAATCCCTGAAACGGCTTAACCAATTTGGATGTGATTTTCACTAATGTATTCTTGTAAGCTTCACTTAACATTTGGTATTTGTTTTATTTCAATCGGTTCATAAATAAAACTACAGGTATATATATCTTTTAAAGTGTTTAAATACAAAAAAGATGTAAATAAATATACATAAAATTTGCATAAAAGTAAACGTTTTATTTCTTTTATAATTGCAACAAATAAAATTTATTCGTTGTACAAAGTACAGCATAAATACACTTTGCATTATGTTAACTAATACCTACTACCCTAACACTATGTTATTTGTGACTGTTAATTGCGAGCGAAATACGCCAGTCTCAGAAACTGATGCAAACTGCATTTAAAAGATATTTACAACAATAGTTATACTTACTAACAAACCTATAAATAATAATTAAATGATTAATAATTAAAAATATTACATTTCTATTCCTTTATTTTAATAAGTCTATGGTTCAAGCTGCGCAAAATAAAAGATGTCTAAATCTGACCAATCAGTGACTGTTTCACAATTTAACGTCTTTATTTATTCACAATATCACTGAATGTGCTTAGGAAAATTATAATATACCTAAAAATGTCCCGCGATATTAAAGAAAAGGAGATAATTGACAATACCCCGGGTAATTACAATATCATTAGTGAAGTTATTATTTCACGGTTTTTTACAATTTCCCTGTGAATGTACATATTAACCTAAATAAATGTTAGATGGGCCATAGGTACCGGCGAATAAATAATTCTTTAATAAATATTATAAAACTTTCTCAAAAAAGTGTATAGCAATCTATGAATCTTAGAGTACTCAAGCATATAAATTAAAGTTTACACGAGAGAAGCCATGAACAACCTCTTGTTCGTAATAAAACCTTAATATATTATTTCTCGGTAAGATTTTTTCATTAAGATGATAAACGTCATGAAAGGCCTAGCATTTATCTCGTGAAATAACTTTGGCCTCGTTATTTTTATTAGACCATTCATAATGTGACTTCATTAAGTAACGATGTTAAAGCAACAGCTTTCCACGTTAACTGCTGTAGTAATTGAGTGTTAAAGCTTTTCATAAATAGATTAACATGATATAAACCTTCGTAAGTTTTTTTTTATTTTAAATTTAAAGTAAGTGTTAATTGAACCGTCCCGTCTACGATTCTTCTAATCCTTTCACCAAAGGTTGTCTGTAAGAGATTGCTCGTAGCAATAAGACCGCCTTTGCATGCCTCTTTGTTATTTTTTTTTTCTTTTCATCTTCTGTACTATTCTTTTGTGTGTGCAATTAAGTATTTATCTATCTAAAAACTTTAGCGATTAATGTCGTATTCATATCTGTTAAAATATGTACTGTATTAAATAATCCATATATACACAACATTATAAATGCAAAAGTAACTCTGTTTGTTTGTTACCTTTTCACGACTAAACGGCTGAACCGATTTAGATAAAAATTGGTATGGAGATAGTAGTTGGGAAGGACATGCGACAGTTTTTATCCCGGAAATCATCCCTTAAGGGGGTGAAAATGGGGGTGGAAGTTTGTATGGGGCATCAACCATTTCTCAAGTAAGGGATATAAAACTCATCATACCTCATCATCATATATGTATATGCACATGGGACAAACCCAGGTGAGGTTAGGTTGAGTCGCTACTGATTTTATATATAATAATATTATTATCTATACATATAATAAAATTGTAACTAAGTCGAATCTGTACATTAAATATTTTTTGGAAAATCTAATTGAAATAGACATTATTATCGATACAGAGTCCGAATCTATAGTTTTTAGAATTTTTGTCTGTCTGTCTGTCTGTTACCGCATCACGAGAAAACCACTGGACAGATTTTGATAAAATTTGGTATAATGACACCTGGTTATCCGGGTCAACATATAGGATACTTTTTACTGCGGGAAAATATCTCATTACTGAGAAAAAATACAAAAAGTGCATTGTAAGAGTAGGTATACTTATATGTAAAACCTAAGAATTTGGTTTTTGATCATCCAAACGCGGGCGGAGCCGCGGGCAATGCTACTTTTAAATATGTCTGATATCGTGATGCAATGATCATTGCCATCACAAAAAGTAAACATAATTAAATATTTATACCTAGCCTATGAGATTACCACTATGTGATTATGTAGATTTATGGGTCAATATATTTTAATAACTAAAAGTTTCGCACGACAATTCCAGTCTATCTTTTACCTGTTGAAACAAGACCTGAGTGCAGAATGCAGTGATGCAGATAGTGTGGTGTATGTCCTTAGTTCTAGCCATTTTCCGTCACGGATGATAATTATGAGATTTTCTTAGTTACATCAAATGTCCTTTTTTTAATTTATAATATTTTTTGAAGTTACAAAAGATTATTATTCTTAGCCAATAGTTAGTTATGTCAATAGTTCTGTAAATGTGTAAGTAGTATTGATTCTTTGCATTCATGTTCTTTTACAGCACAAGTAACAGGTAAAATACTATTTTTATGTAATAGTTTATGGGATGTTCTATACAGTGGATAGGGACATAGATTATATAATAAACATACAGTTAGTATATAGCCAATAATTATCGAAGGAACCATGGTGTAGTTAAGGAGTAACTGAACCAAAAGGTTATTTGTAACAATATAAATTTAATTTCAGGAGGCATTGCTTCTTTCCCGCCAATGTTAAATAGTGCAGTCCATGTGATAATGTATACCTATTACTTGTTATCTTCGGAGGGAAGCCCTGCAGTTAAGGCCAAACTTATTAAGTATAAAAAATGGCTTACTATTATGCAAATGGTAAGTAAAATTTATAAATATTGTGTGTGAAATATACAAACATAAATTATATAAAATAAATATGAAAGAGTAATTTATATTTATGCCTCAATTTTATACCATTTATTGATATATAATATAGGGGGAAGTTAGTGTACTGTAGAAAATTTTTGTATTCTAGAAAATGAGTTTTTTTAGTTTAAAATTAAATCATATCCTATTTCAATAGAGATGGGCACAATTTATAATAAAAAAGTTCCTTAAACAACTTGTAATGACTTAGATTAATTTTGAACCCCCGATGCAAAAAGAGGGGTGTTATAATTAATAATACAAATATCAAAATAAATTCAAATTTATTTCAACAAAATTGTAATCTAAACATAGAAGTTATCACCAAAATTTTGTGGACCATACCGAGTTAGAAATAGAAGGCAAGCAAAAATATTGCTCTGAATTCGTTAAGAGTACCTTACGGTTACACATAAAAATGATCAATATATAAAATAAATAAAGTTTCAGAATTTAAGGATGTTTATAACATTTATGAAAAGTATAAGTAGCAACAAGTTGATTTATAATATAACTTCTTTATTCATAATAAATTGAATGTTTTCAGGTCCAATTCACAATTTTGTTAGTATACTGTGCACAGGCATTTCTACCAAGCTGTCCCGCACCACTAGGAGTAGCTTATCTGTATTTTCCTAATGTTGTATTTGTGTATTATATGTTTTATAAATTCTTTAAGCAAAGTTATTGTAATTCTAAATACAAAAAATGATTATCAATGTCATCTTTTAGTTAACAATAATGAAATTAAAAATCATAATTTCAAATAATCTTAAATAATTAAAATTATGTACATATTGCAAAGGTGTTTCTTATTTTAATTGTTGTTACATTTATGATTGTTTTAACCTTTGTTTATATACTTAAAGTTCTCAATGTAGGCATCTAGCTATTTAGCTAACTTATTTTTATTATGAATAAGAATTACTTTATAATGAAAATTAATTGTACGTGATATGTTGTTTTTTTACAGTAGTGGGTGATACCGACAATTTTGTTTTTATTTTCTATTGCCTACAAATTGCCTATGTAAACAAAGGGAATATGTAACCTCGACAAAATTTCAAATGTTACTTTGATTTTAAACTTCATATGTTTATTAAATTTATTTAAATTTTTTACTTCTAAAACGACTAAATCAGTTTTAAAAGATGTAAAATCAACGTCACGTACCGTATAATACGAGAGCAAGCCAGCATTCTCGTCCAACACGAACCACCGGTACTGCCACCCTTTCATCACATTTGTCCACTTACTTAAAGATCCCTCCATCATGATTACAGAACGCAAAAATAATTTAAAAACTCATGAAAATAAAGACAACGAATTTTATACTGCGGCAGAAACTATCCACCATAAATAATCCATACGTTTGACACCTGCCAGCAGTGTTGCTAGCAATACCAATTTATTAAAATTTATATTGCCAGTAAGCAAATATTATTAGTATAAAAATAAATGATTTGAAATATATTACTATATATAAAAATAGATTATTCACCAATGTAAAATACTAATATATGTTTTTACTTTTATTTAAAAAAATATTTAAGGAAAATTATTATATTATTTTATTACATAGGTATGTAAAGTAAAAAACAGTTACTTTTATAAGTCTTTATATATTACAACCTGATCATCACTTGCGCAATAATAATAATTAACGACTGAATACTCAACATTAGTTGTTTTTAATTTAGTAATACTAAAACTATACTATTTACAAAGTTAGTTGCCATATGGCGTTTGTACGTCAATGTCTTCTGATTGCTCGGCCTCGTTTTGTTTTACTATACCCTGATGAAATTAATACTCCATTATTATCGTTATCCAGGCGGACTCCTGATAAATCGACTAATAATGGCACATTTTCAGATCCCTCCCCAACTGCATCTTTAGGTTCCTTGTCAAAATTTTCAGGGGTACCTTCTCCTTCAATAGCTAATTTTTCAAAATCTTTGCTTAATGAATTATTTTCTGCTGCTTCAACAAAGGCATTTGAAAGCTCACCATCTAGTTTATTTACTTTGCCAGATGTAATATCGTACATGAAGATTTCCCTTTCTCCTGAAAGTTCCTCGTCTCTGAAAAGAAATAATATAAATTATAAATAAATCATTTTATATGTTACAAAATAAATACTTTATAACTCGTTTAAAAAATTAATAATTAAAAAGAGACAAATAAGTCACAGACTTAAAATATTTGATTAGATATATAAACCGATCGTTGTTACTTATTACTGCAATATAGATTTTTCTGAAATATTTGTTACAATGGTTTCAAAAACTCATTAAAATCTTACATAATTAGCTTTATTTTATAAAAAAAATAATTAAAAAAAACATATTATGAAATAGTGAGGGCAAAAATTAAAAAATGAGTACCTAGTGTAAAATATTGATATAAATTATAATCAATTAAAAATCTGCCAAATATGTAAAAAAATAATCATAATTTTAGGCATGTGTGAGTGTATAATGTCAATTTATTTCAGAAATTAAAGGCTATTGAATTTGATTTTAGTGAAAATGTAAGGCTTTGAAAATTCAACTTACTCAGTTACTAAAAGAATAACAGATTGTTCATCAGTAGCTGTTTTCTTTTCAACATCTAGCCATTTTTCAAAATTATCTTTCGTGGGTTTCCTTAATAAGTTATGAAAGCTGTCACCAGCTACAAATTTAATGCCTTTTAAATCATCAGCAGCCCTTTTTGTTCTTATATGCTCTCCACTTAAAGCCTCTGTTTGTACTGGAGCCAATACAACAACAGAAGATATTTTCTTTCCTTTCAGGATATCGGGTAGCGGAAATTGATTACCACTTACTTTAAGAGGAAGATATCTATTATATTTTTTATCATTTAAAGCAACAGGATCTACCTGAGTAGCATCTTTTTTAACGTAATCATTTGCAAGTTGTTGACCTTCTGGTGTTTTAGGATCAAAATGAACAACTTTCATTTCAACACCTTGACTCGAAGGAGGAGCTACGTAACTCGGTACATTTTCAGATGCAGCAATATCTTGATCATCCTCATTGAAATTGTCATCGATTCTAGATTCAATGCTATCACCATTGGGCTTTACAACAATAGGTCTATGCTCACTAGATGCTAGTTGTTGACCTCCCCCGGCACTGAAAAAGTTTGCTAATTGATCTGGAGGTAAAGATTCGAGAGGCGTATCACCTACTTTATCATAATCCAAAATACTTATATCAGCATTGTCTAAAATACCCGAAGAAAGTAATTGCTGTCTAAGGTCATCTGGAACTTCATCGGGTAATTCAATGGCAGGTTTTTTCTTTTCTTCTTTCTGCGGTGCTGATGTACTGCTTACGATATTAGCTGTAGAAGACACATAGTTTTGCGTACTTGGTTTAATTTCGACAGTCCTAGAAGTAGACTGGTAGTAAGGTGAAGATGCTGTGCTGGTAACATAGTTGGTTTGGGGTTTTGATCTTTCTTGTACATATTGAGGATTAGGGGAACTAGGTTGGGATTGTTGCTGATATTGATTAAAATGTTGTTCATACTGAGAATTCTGCTGTTGCTCTTGCTGTTGTTGCTGTTGATGCTGATGTTGAGCATATTGTAGTTGAACTTGTAAACGTTGTATTTCTTCTTGCTGTTTTTTAACGTTCTGTGCTAGTTGCTCTCTGACCTGTTCCTGTTCTGCATCAAAATACTGTTGTTGCTGTAGCTGCTGCTGTTGATGCTGCTGTTGTTGTTGCTGTTGTCGTTGTTGCTGCTGTTGTTGTTGATGTTGTTGTTGTTGATGTTGTTGTTGATGTTGTTGTTGTTGATGTTGTTGTTGTTGATGTTGCTGTTGTTGTTGCTGATGTTGTTGCTGTTGTTGATGCTGATGTTGTTGCTGGTGTTGTTGTTGATGTTGAAGTTGTTGTTCAGAATGACTGGTAGGAGGTGTTGATTGACTTAAGGAATTAAATCCATTTAAATTTGATTGACCATTTGGTCTATTGACGATTATGTGTTGTTCATATTTAGAAATAGCTGGAACTAATTCTCCACCATTCGGCACGAATTGATTAATATTTTGTTGATGCTCAGAATTAGAAATAGATTGGTAATTGTTTTGTTGAATTTGAGGTCTATCTGATGGCCCAATCTGTTGTTGGAAATTGACTTGATTTGGAATTGAGGAAGGCTGAGGATGGAAATTGAGTAATGGAGATGAAGATGGATGTGGAAGGAATTGGTTATTAGGGATTGGAGATGGTGAAGGAGAAGGTGATGGTGAAATTATACCTGAAAATGAGTTTTGTAGGTGGCTATGTTCTTGAGTACTTATTTGAACTGATGGTCGTGGACCTTGATGAAAACTGACATGTTGTTGAGGTGACGAAGGTTGGCGCTGGAAGGGAGTACGATTGTCTTCGATATAGGGAGGTGATGGCTTCAAATTAAAGAATGGTGACCTAGTAGGTGTGTTGGTTATTGTTTGCTTATTTTTATTTCCGTCAAATAGTTGTGGAGGTCTTTGATGCGGTAATTGTTGATTGAAAGGAATGATCTGTTGGGGTCGATTTTGATGTTCAGGAAAATGTACAGGAGTAGGGCTTGGACCGGGTTTAAGACCAACATTAAAGTTTTGTCTAGTTGGCAACAATGGTACTTTTGGGGAATCAACTTGATCGGTTTGTATGGTGTGATAATTTTCTTGTAAGTATTTAGCTTCATCAAAGTAGTTTTGTGGTTGATGGAAAGGTCTTTGAGGGCCTGAATGAAAGCTAGATCTCGGCGGAAAGTGCTGCCTCGTGCCGAAAACTGGTGCATTATTTGGCCGCAAATGGAATGGAGGATTATTTGGTCTAGAAAATGCAGCGAGACTTGGGCCAACAGGACCTGGAAGTGTAGGAGCGACATTTCCAAAGTTATTACTAGGACTTGGAGAAACATTTGAAAATGTGGGACGAGGATTTAAGGATTGAGATGGGCCAAAATTATTTTGAAGAGGTTGAGGTCTAAAAGGAACAAGTGTTGGACCTTGTCTTGGTAATTGCGGTTCGTGGCTAATGAACGGTTGCTGAAATTGAATACGGTTTTGTGCCTGTTGTCCTTGTTGGAAAGCATGTTGGTTTGATTGGCTTGAGTGTTTTATTTCATGGTCATTATATAGCGGTCTAGGAGATGCAGATCGCTCTAAAGGTTGTTGATTAGGTAAAGCAATTGCTGGTCTCGGCGCTGTCTCTTCACGATCTTCACCTTGAGGACTTTCCTCTCGTCTGTTGCTATAATGATGATGGTCATTTCCAAAAGTCACTTTAACGTTGCTATTGGTGTGATAAATTTCTGATTCAGGTTTAATAATTGCTCTTAAAGTAGTGGTTTGTACTGGTACGTATAGTGGTTCAGGTGTCACTGTGACATAATCTTCATGATGATCATCTTCATCATTGGATGGAGGTGTAATTGCTGGTATGGGTTTTTCGTAAATTACTTTATCCTTAGAGTGAGGATCTTTACTATATTTTACGTAAAACACTTGAACTGGTTCCTTTTTCTTTTTTTGAATGGGAGGAGGTGGTGGAGCAGGCAGTGACTCATTAGATTCTTTAATAATAATTTCTATAATAGGCTCTGGAGCGTCATAATAGAGAGGGTGTGCTTCTTCGCTATAGAGGGGTGCTGTGGGTAGAGCACCGTACGGAGGCCCGAATGAACTTTCAGGACCATCTTGAATGTTAAGAATTTTTGGTTGGGCATATATTTCATTTTTGTTTACAATTGTTTCTTCTACGTTTTCATGATTTAAACCGTATAGTGGATCTTTCTGAGAGTACTGCACAACTGGTTCCATCTGAACAGCGTATGGCGGCAATTTTCCTCCTCGTGGGGCAACATTAGAAATCCGCCTTGTGTTTGTCAAAGACCGAAAATGTTCAACTCTTGAATGCGGAAGAACTAAGGAGTATTGTAAATTCTGAGGGGTTCTTAAATTTTCTAATTGTCGTTTCGGTTTCGTTTTCGCTGTCGAGTTTTTGGCGCATGTTATGCTGAGCACAGCAAAGGCTGTGACCTGAAACAAAGAATAATGCATTTAAGTTTTACTACAAAACAACTTTTTTTAAACTAACTGCTATAAAATACTTTCTTAGATTTACGCGAATACTGAATTAAACTATGAAAAATACAAAAATGGCATAAATCAATTCTTTAATTCACTTTATTTTTTAAATCATTGATAATTTTGACTGTCTGTAACTATTATATAACCTTGATCTTCATCGACTTAGTCCCCACCGTGACCATGAATGCTGTATTAAGCATTCGAAACAACAATTAAAAATTCAAAATTAATCCGAAATAATAGTTTTATTTAAACCTATAAAAATGATTCATTTTTATTTTAATTTCATTTCAACTTTCTCTATTTATTTTGATTCTGAAATGGTAAGTTCGAAAGGGCGTAGCAACAATCGCAGGACACGTTCTCCAATTTTTTTTAACCTTATGGTTTTATTTATATTCATTTCAAACCTCTACATCAATAAGGAAAAAGACAAAATAAATATTGATAAGTTCCAGTGGCCAAATTAATTTTTTCATACAAATAAAGAACGACTAGAGTAATACCTATTACTTAATTTAGTAAAAAAATATTTCTCCATAACTAACACCACGATGGTCAGTAAAAATAAAAAGAAACGACAAGGAACCCGTCCATCTACATTCCCATAAGAATAAAAGCAACGTTGTTTGTGCGACGATATTTGGGATATTTGACGACCAGTTTGGCTCAGTTTGTAGTGACCCCACTTGCTATGCCGGCGGTCGCGAGTTCGAATCCCGCTGGGAGCATTCATTTGTGTGATAAGCATGAATGTTTGTATTTAAAATTATAGTGTAGTGTATCAACTATCTGGTATCCATAACACAAACCTCGCAGCTTACCATGGAACTAGATGGTGCTGTGTGTTAATGTCCCAACATATTATTATTATACTTGCCTTAAGAATATTTTTAAATGGTTATAGGCAATATAAGTACGAAATATTTCGATAATATACACTGCAAATAAAAACAGCCAGAGATTATAAATAATACTATACCGAACATGTAATGTGATGCTATCATCAATGTTTTTACTGCATCTACTTTAGTGATTTAACAGAGTGCATAAATTTAGCATGTTTTGTAACGGATCGGTTCTTACTTCACAGGTAAAATAAAAGTAAGTGTGAACTTTTCAGATCATGGTCGTTGTGCAAATATAAAGTGAAGAGATGTAAATTTGTATTTGATTTTAAAATAATGTTAAGTTTTCATAATATCGAGCCATTTTAATTTAATAGATAATCATCTAAATTTAATTGCAATTAAATTAGTAAACTTCAGATTTGCATTTTGTGTAAATTTTTGTAATTGAAGTAGGTAATTATTAATTAATTATTTTTGCATAATCCTCAAAATTTTTACTCAAACTATTAGTATGTATTGTATTTTTATATATTACAAATTTCAAAAATAGTTTTCAGTACGTCCTGTAGGTGGCGGCACTTATGATATCTAGATCATAGGGTATAGTTGTCAAATCGTCAGTGTCTGTAACACATCTATTTAGAAACTAAAACAAAAATAGCGACCCCTTAGAGTTGATCTATAGGGCTCATGTTTTGTGAGGTTCTTTTTATATCAAATAGAAACATTTGAGAGGGTAAGAGTTAGAAAAAAAATTTTTTTTGAAGCACCTTAATACCCACGCTTCATGTATTTATCCTACTAATATTATAAATACGAAAGTTTGTAAGGATTTATGGATGTCTGGATGTATGTATGTATGGATGTTTGTTACTCTTTGACACAAAAACTACTGAATGGATTTTAATGAAACTTTATAATAATATAGCTCATATACCAGAATAATATATAAGCTACTTTTTATCCCGGAAAAATGTACGGTTCTCGTGGGATAGACATGTTCTGCTTTTTTTTATAATAACAATAATAACATACTTTAGGCTTTTTTTCTGAGAATTTCATCAATCTCTACTCCATAACCGGGAGATGTAATCGTGTATTAGTTTGAAATATTATCACCATCAGCTTTATTATTTATGTCATTTGGCTGCTATAGCCATGAAGTCAGTTGTCTCTCTCTTATTTATGGCTATTATAAAATTAAACTATTAGTTAAATTATGTCGTAAGTCTCGCGCTTATTCACAGCACTGTCACTATCACCATTTACATAACAGCTGTATGGGAAATTCTTTCTTTTTAAATGATTCGAATCATTCACGCTATATTACACCTTATTACCATGCAATTAATAGCAGCTTACTTGCTACTACGAGTATTACAAGGTTTCTTTAATATACTAGTTTCTGCCCGCGGCACTACACGCATGGTATATCATGTAATATACAAAGCGAAATTTATAAAGAACTTAAAGTAATAAATATTCTATTTACTCAATAGCTATTGAATTATATATTGAATTTTATATGAAGATTTTAAAATAATCACAGAAATATTTTTAAAGGTCCATATGAACTCTATTTCATTTAAAAGTGGAACATATTACTTTTGCTATTTTCATTTAATTTCATTTAAATTCTAAGCGTATGCGTTTACATTACATGCTTAATAAAAGCTGTAAATCCTTTTAACAACTCACGGACCGACAGACAATGCAGAGCAATATACTCTTAGAGTATACATGTACATATATAAGAATATACCGCTCTAGAAGCATGAAATTTCGTATAGAAGTTCCTTAAATAAGACAATTTTTAGTCGATGATTTTTAATACTCATCCTCTTAAAAGCGATATATATTGATAAAGAATTATGAGAAAGTTTTCATTTTTGAAGTAAGGAATACATGGATATTGACGTATAACCTTCTCTTTATATTGCTAATAGTATCGGCCTCACTCTTGTTAACTATATCTATAATAAAATTGTAAGTAATTCGAATCTGTATATTAAATATTTTTTGGAAAATCTAATTGAAATAGACATTATTATTGATACAGAGTCCGAATCTATAGTTTTTAGAATTTTTGTCTGTCTGTCTGTCTGTCTGTTACCGCATCACGAGAAAACCACTGGACAGATTTTGATGAAATTTGGTATGACGATAGCTGGTTATCCGGGTCAACATATATATATATATATATATATATATATATATATATATATATATATATATATATATATATACTATACTTAACGGATACTTTTAACCACGGGAAAATATCTAATTTCTGAGCAAAAATACAAAATGCATTGTATTGTAAGAGTATACTAATATGTAAAACCTAAGAATTTGGTTTTTGGTCATCGAACGCGGGCGGAGCCGCGGGCAATGCTAGTATTATATCAATTAATATTAAAATAGGACCATAAACAGTTAACACTAAACTACTAAACCAGACTGCCTTTCTGTATAATTTTCCACAATTTCCCCGCTATTTCTCACGGTGTACGTACAAATTACTCGCTTTATAAGTTTATAGGTACACTTCAAGCAATCGTAAGTATCTATGATTGCTATTTATAAGTAAAATGATTATTCTGCAGTAAATTTAACGAGATTATACACTTGTCTTTATTTTTATTTCCTTGTTTATTTCGGTATAAATGATCAAAAACCCGAACTTAAAGTACTTAATTATTAAGTAAAATTTGGTATAAAACGATTAATTTAAATTTTAATTGCAACATGTTACGTTGTAGCCAAAAGTTGTCGAAAAAAGTTGAATGAAGATCATGTATCAACAATCAACACCAAGCAACAAACCGGAAATTTAAATAATAACGTTCTCTGAACCGATTCCGGTTACAGGCGGCCTATCTCACTGAGACTACTCGATTGAGCAGTGCGCGGAATAATGTTGTCAAAAAGGAAATAATACTATATTTATTTCTTATTACAGGAAACTAGATTGTTAGGTCGCCATTATCATTCAAAATGCATTAACAGAGATGGATCATAAAAACGAATATGAACACTGGATGGCTATTATTAATACCTAATAATTTTTAACCAAATTGATCCATTCACTTTCGTTAACTTCAAACCGTTCACTAAATTCGAGTGTCACTTTTTGTTTTTTTTTAAAATTACACACATTATGTGTTACGGTAATATTTTTGAAAGTACTTTGTTATTTGGTAATACAAGGTCGTCCGACTTGTGTATGCATATCGTAGATGGCAATAATAATATACTTTAACTGCTTATGTAAGTTAAGTAAGTTATGCATGAGTGTATAAATTTTTCAATTAGGTCGTGATTTTAATGTATTTTTTAGTGTCCCACTTCTGGGCACGTGCCTCCCTTCAATACAAGGAGGATCAGGCCATAGCCCACCGCTCTGGCCAAGTGCGGATTGGTGGACTTCACATGTCTTTCGAAAACTTGTTAGGGGTCGTTCATAAAATACGTCACGCTAACATCAGCTTTTTTGACCTTCTCCCCTCCCCCCTATTGTCACGCTGTGTCACACTTTCTGTGATCCCCCTAGAAATATTTCGTCACAAAAACTAAGAAGTTCGAAATGATTCGTACAAAAAAATAACAGAGGTGCGAGACCCGGGATTTCAACCCACGACCAAATACCCATACCCAAGCGAGCGCTACCACTTTGTGCCTTTTATATATTATATAACATTTGTTTAATAATAATTAATAAAATATTGAACATAATTTCACCTTTTGGTACAATACTTTTATTTTATTGCTTTCTTTATCTTTCACGGAAATTTACAAAGCAGAGTCGACTCTTTTTTTCTCTGCGTACTCGTCAAATCACATTTATTCTAATATATTTTACCATTTTTTTATGAAATATTTATTAAATCAAAAAAAAAAAATAGATATTCGCACAGTTATCCGTCGAATGGTTACATATTCGTAACAATCTTCATTACCGATGTGGGTCACTCTGAGAAAATGTTAAGATTATATTTTTTCTCTTTAAAGTTGTAACATTACATAACTAATCTCCGACTGTATTTTGCATAACATTCAAATTTGAAGACAAAATTACTATGCATTTATGTCTTAAAC